AGATGAAGTACATCAAGTCGAAACACGGCAAATTTATGATTAGCGTTTCAAAATTTGAACCTCAATTTAATCAGATTTTAAGAATGCAAAAAGAGTTCCATCATTCACATTAATTGTTTTATTATAATTTGTGATGAAAATATGAGCATTTGCTACTACTGTCTGTTGTCATTAATATGTGCTAATTTATTCCCACGTAGAGTTGTTAATTTCTCATTTTATCCGTCCCATTTAAAGTGCTGAAATACCTAATGTGGCCCGCATTTCAAAATTTGGAGACCCCTGGTCTAGATAGTGTGGGACCCTCAACGTCTCACAGGCCTATGGACTTTCATGGCCTGTTACAGGGATAGCTTTACTTTTTTACTTTATAGGTAAACATTTGTATGATAAGTTTCCTATCCAAAATGGGGTGGTGTATGCTGATGATGCAGATTTATTGGGAGATAACATAGATACCATAAAGAAAACGTTTGTAAAAGAACAAACTTTAACTAATGTTAGTAAGAAGGTTGGTGTAGAAGTAAACACAGAGAAAACTAAGTATATGTTGCTGTCTCTTCAGAGAATGTAGAGCAAAGTCATGACAGAAAGGTGACTAACAGATGTTTTGAAAATGTGGCACAGTTAAAATATTTGAGAATGACAGTAACAGATCAAGATTTGATTCAGGAGGAAATTAAGAGGAGACTGAATTCAGGCAATGCTTGCTACCATTCAGTGTAGAACCCTTTGTCTGCTGTCTGGTTCTCAATGGGTGTGAAACTTGGTCTCTGGCATTAAGGGAGGAACATAGACTAAGGGTGTTTGAGAACAGGGTACGGAGGAGAATACTTGGACTGAAGAGGATGAGGTGAGAAGAGGTTGCTCTTCGCCAAGTATAATTACAATAATCATGATAAGACAGATGGGATGTACAGGTCATGCAACACGAATTAGAGTGAAGAGGAATGCATATAGGATATTATTGGGAAAGCCAAAGGAAAGTGACCACTAGGAAGACCAAGATGTAGGTTGGTGAATAATATTAAACTGGATCATAGAGAGATAGGATGGTAAGTATGGATTGGCTGTATATGGCTCAAGATAGGGACCAGTGGTGGGCTGTCATGAACATGGTAATGAACCTTCAAATTCCATAAAATGTTGGGAAATTCTTAAGTAGCTGCACAACTGGCAGCTCCTCAAGAAAGACTGAGTTCCATGAAGTTAGTTTTATGCTCTTGTATTCCAGTCAACCAATGCAACATGAAATTTAATGATAAATGACTTAAACTCAAACTTCAGTATTGTTAAAAATATGCTTTCAGTCTAGATGTTAGGGATGAATGTAACATCTTAAGAAAGTTTTGAATTCAATGCATAAAGAGCACCATGTAATATCAAACTCATATGTTACTGTCACCAATTTTAAAGAACACTTCTCAAAATGACTTTTAACTATATTAATTAAATAAATGAATAACATACTTTCATCTTTCTCCCAATAAATAATTTGTTTTGTATTATTTTGGAAGTGTATTCTAAATGCTTTTCTCTTCTCAGTAGCTAGATATTTTAATGACACCTTATCCTGATAAATATTGTTACGTTTTAGGGGTGTGACTATGGACCTGGTATGGATTGATGACTTGATTTATTGACCTCTTGTACACACCACTTGGAACCTCAAATAATTACAGTGCTGTCAGTAATCTCCATACTTTACAAATCACCACAGCACCTGCTATGCCTTTTTCCAGCCTGCTGTGTCTTCAGCATTTGTTCCCTAAGAACTGCTTCTTAGAGTGGAGATTCTTCACCTTCCTGCACTCACATTGTTACTGTCTGGCAGCTAACCCACAAGTGAACTCATGTGAACTGTCAACTGAACTATAGTGCCCTCTCTTCTCAGCCTTCCTTGCAGAGCTCAACTTAACTGCCAACCCTCAACTAACTGGGCCCCAGGCTGGTGGCTATTTCACATCAACCTCCTAGTCTTCTTGTCACAGGCTTTCAACTGACAACTCAGCTATCCAACCACTTCACTTCACTCAGCTGGTCTGAGTTCCCTGCTATATATCTTTGGGATGGACCCAACAGAAAACACCATTCTTCTCTTGTGCGCGTTTATTCCCACAGGAACATGCTTACCAAGCTGTTGCTTAGAAATGGGTTGCATAACCCCATTGTTCTATTGTTACTTGCGTGTATGTTGTGGGCATTATTTAGCAATGGCCACTGTTTACAGAGTCACCACTTAGCAGTGGGTCTATATGCCACAATATTGTCAAGATTTTAGTGACTACAAATGGGTTTTGGATTGGTAATCAGGTTTATTGTACTCTTACAACTCGTAACAACAACAGTTTTACTAGTTTACATTTTCCAATTCACTACATGCACACTAAGTCTTCTCACTACATCTTCACTGAAAGTTGCTTGGTAGCAGCTTGCAGTAGTGGATGTTCCTCTTTGTTTGGGTTCCCGAACTGTCCCTGGCCTCAGCATCTCACAGTTAACAATTCAGAACGATTCAAATGCAGCAGTAATCTAACTTACCAACCAACTCTCTTCACTAACTCCTTACTTGTCCTGCTTATAACATCACAGCATGGACCACGCAGAAGACACTGCTCTTCTGTTGCTGAGGAATTGTTGTGTTTGTGTCTCTTTTGGTTGAATTGTTACCTAGCAATGGATGTTGTATAGTCGCTTATTTTGCAGTCGTTGCCTAGCAACAGGTCCACATGCCACAGTATAATCAGTAACCTAATAATATGTAACAGCGTTTTTTTACTATACATAAATGATCTACCCAAAATAATAAATAAAGAGTATAACATGGTATTGTATGCTGATGACATGAGCGTTATAATTACAGATCCCAATAAATTGAACTTTTAACAGAACTTTTGATAAGGTAAATACCTGGTTTAATGCTAACTTACTTTAAATTTTCAAAAAAACCCAATATTTGGAATTTCGATCTAGGAATAGCTGTAAAAGTCCAATGGTGATCATATATGATCAAAAAAGTATAGTTACAGCTACTGAGACTAAATTTCTGGGTTTGATTATTGATGACACTTTGTCTTGGAGCCAGCACATTTATTATACTACAAACAAATTATCTCTGGCATGTTATGAAATTATACATATAAAACGTACAGTAACAACAGAAATGCTAACGTTAATCTGTTTTGACTGTTTTCATTCCATTATTAGCTCCGGAATAATCTTCTGGGGCAGTGCTAACTTAGCGCAAAAGGTATTCTTAATGCAAAAGAGAATTTTCAGTGTCATAATGAATATGAGGCGAAGAGACTCCTGTAGGGAGGTTTTTAAGAGGATGAAAATAATGAAGTATTCCAAATATATATATGGACTATTTTTATTTGTGGTTAATAATAAAACTTATTTGAAAACAATAGTGAATTACATGACCATAAAACTAGGTTATGTAAAAACTTGCGCCTACCTGTGGTGAAGGTGGCCAAATTTGACAAAGGTGTCTGTATCACAGGTATAAGAGTTTTAATCATTTACCTCATTCAATGAAAAGATTGATGAATGATGAGAAGGGTTTTAAAACCACTTTAAAAAGTTTTCTGTGTCACCATTCCATTTACTTCATGAATGAGTTTTATCAATATACTGAGAGTTAGAATATACTATGTATATGTATGTTAACTCACCCAATATTCTGGGTATGAAATTTTAAAATTTTGTTGTAAATATGAATGAATGAATTTGACAAGGCAGCTCAACTTTTAACAATGGTTACTTTTTAATTTTTACATTATGTAAAAAAACAAATAATATTAAACATTTCAAAATTCAGGTATTGTACTTTAATCTATTAAATGTGTCCTGAATCAGGACTCCCTGGAGAACACATTTGGAGCTAGTCGTTCGAACTGTGGTTCGAACAATAACCCAACTGTGGGACAGCTTGCAGATGCCCTGAAGACTAGCATCATCAATGGCCTTGCATTTAGAGGACTGGGGGAAACTAGTTGTGAGGATGATGGTGCTACTCTTCTGGATAATCTACAATCGCTTTTCAGGGCACCTGAAGCTGCTTCATGAAATCCTTCCACAAGTCATGACAAGGAAACCCCTGCTGGTGTGCCTGAGAGTTTCCATGTTGCTCAGCAAATACAGATGGACATGAGTCCTACAGTACCTGCTGGTGACATGGAAGTGTTCTCAGTAGCTTATGACAGTGGTTCCATTGCCAGACAAATGCTTCATTGTGTCAACTGTGATGCATGCAAGACATCCCTGACATCTGAAGTGCTTCTAACAGCCAATGTCTTTATTTATTTCAAGGAGTGAAGTGATACAGAACAGTCTCTCACTTATCCTTCTGAGAAGCTTGTGGAGACTGTTGGTACTGCTGTAACTCTGATGAAGTCTATAATGACAGAGGCTGCCCACTTGAATTCAGTGGAGCAGCATTGACTTCAAGTGGATTAGGTGTTCTGGCTGTTCGCTTCACCACCAACGAATAGTAGACACTATTGTGAGATGTCTCATACGAATTTACATTCCTTGATGGTGTAAGCGAAGAAACCGGTTGATGACTGAAGCAGCCAGATCTCTGCGTACAAGAGATCTGGTTGTAAAAGTATTTATTTCCCCACCAACCTATTTCTATTTTTGAACAGTGTTCAATATCACTAGTCAAGGATGAGGTTGGCAGGGCATGCAGCACGAATGGGAGAGGCTAGAAATGCATATAGGATATTGGTGGGAAAGCCAGAAGGAAAGAGAGGCTGCAGTACAAGAGATCTGATTGTAAAAGTATTTATTACTAGTAGCGAAAAAAGCACTGTAAGGGGGCAAGGAGGGTGCACTCCTTCTTACCGATTGTGCTCTCGGCCCTGGAGGCCATTTTAAGTTTAGTTCAAGTAAACTGCGTGGAGATGGCAGCAGCATTGCATCGCGGTGTCATGGCGTCCATGTTTCCAACCAATAACATGGGAGTTTCACGGACCGTCAGATTAGTAATGGCGGTAATGGCTGATGTTAGATTGGAGGTTGGTAGGGAATATTTTTGAAACTGTGTTTTGAGTGTATTTAAAATGGATCCTCAAGTTTTATGATGCGAACTAGTACCATTAAGAACAGAAGTGCCGTATTAAATAATAATCAATCATGTCTCCTTACCATAATTTTGAATTTTGTGTGTTTAATATAGGACGTATGGGACTATGGATAGTCGGAGATCCAAATCAGACTTCCTGCATGAATAGTACCGTTTTTAGCAAGAAATGTTTTGTTGCGTTGAATAGCGTGTCTAGGTAATGGTGACAGAATGGCATCAAGTTACCGGTCAGTGCTCCTGCTTGGATTATTTCTTGGGCTTGCTTGTTCACTGTCTCTTACGAAGCTCCTTTTCTTCGTTTTCGCTGAAATTAGCCCGGGGCGTGGAGACAAAACAGAAGCCGATGTCTGGCTTCAGGAGAATGACCTACAGCAGTACCAGACCTACTTCAGAGAACGAGGTAACGAGAATGCTGCAACAAGTTTCAACCTCATAATTATTAACCTCAGTCACTAGGCCAGTGATTGAGGTTAGCTCTTTGTAAGGACCCACCAGAGTAGGTGTCTCCCCTCTTACCTGAATACGGAAACATACAGTTTCCGTAATGTTATGTTTTTTTTTCTAATTTTTAAAATACCGAACGATGGGAAAAGTCCGACAACCCACTAATTTTGAGTGTTATGCACCATCGTCTGAGCCCTTTAGAACACCAAGGTTTGACCTGTAGTTTGCTTATAGAAGATCCATTTTGGAAGACACCATTTACCACAACTAATCTTTTGGCAGTGGAGAGTAAATGATTTATGGAAGTGCTGGATTTGCATATAAGTTAAATAAGGTGCAGTTTAGGGCCTCCAAATACTAAGAAAAGAATCATGCGTCAAAGACAGCACAATTGTGTAAGTGTTGAGAGATAATAAAGCGCCATCTGTATTTTATAGTATTGAAATGATGGAAATGATACACACATACATACATACATACATACATATATTTCATAAGTCAAAAATACAATGGACATGAAACTGGTCACAAGCATAACATAAACAGAAACTGTAACTAATTATTTACTGTATGCTCCAAAAATTCATCAACTGTATAAAATGAGTTATTCATGAGATATGAAAATAAATTATTTTTAGAACTGATTCTATCCTTTCTAAGACTTTGAATGGTCTTTGGTTATCTATTAAATATCCTAATACCAGTAAACATAGTGCCATTTTGGAAAGCAGAAAGATTTGAAGTTGGAATATAAATTTGATTTTTTCTTCTAGTGTTCAGGCCATGAATCTCCGAACCTGAACAGAAATTATTTTGATTATCTATTACAAACAACATCAAAGAAAAAATATATTTGCATGACAATGGTAAAATATCTAATTTCTTAAAAAGACTTCTACATGACTCTCTGGGTCCCACTCCCAATGTGATCCTTATTACTTTCTTTTGTAATTTAAAAACTCTGGAATTATTAGTCAAATTGCCCGAGAGGACTATTGCATACTTAATGATAGAATGAAAGTAAGAAAAATAATACACAATTCACAGGGTTTTTAAATTCATAAAATAAGATAAACTCCTAATTTCAAAAATAGCAGAACTGAGTTTAGGATGGATGTGTTCAACATGACTCTTCCAAATCAATTTATTATCAATTTGTATACCCAAAAATTTTATTATAGGGACTTCATTCATTACCACATTTCCAAAGGATACTGCCAGCAAAGAGACTGTTTAGGAGCAAAATTAATAACATTAGTTTTGTTAATATTTAAGACCAGCTTGTTTGCTATAAACCAGTTTACGATGAGAGGCAAGGTATCCGCAACTTTGTGTTAAGCACAAAGTTGCGGATACCATGCCTAAACAGTGCACAATGATTTTTTTCCGGTGACCAAAATACTGGTGTCATCCACAAAGAGAAAAACATTGGCAATATTATTGATGCATAATGACAAGTTGTTAATATAAATAATAAACCGAAGTGGTCCTGAGACCGACCCCTGAGGAACTCCTTGCTTAACTCTTTTCCATTTGGAGAAATAATGATGGTCATCATCAATTCTGAGATGCACTCTCTGTTCTCTATCTGATAGATAGGATTTAAATCAATTTAAATTACAGTTCTGAACACCATAATACTCTAATGTGGATATCAATATCTCATGATTAACACAATCAAACGCTTTGGCAAGGTCACAGAAAATCCCAACAGTTAGACGTTTATCATTCCAGGCTGTGTATGCCAGTGGTAAGTGAAAAAGCAGCATGATCAGTTGATAAGTCTTTCCTAAAACAGAAAAATGGAAATGTTGACAAATTGCCTATCCAGGACACGTTATCATTGATGACAAATGACAGCAAAGGTTTGGCACATTGAAGACACACCTTTCTTTAGTGTATAAGAATCTGGCATTGTGGCATCTTTTAATTATTTTCTGACCCAGAGGAATATTTTACCACAGAAGAAAACATGTGACTTTTTGATCTCTTTTTGTACAGTACATTTCCTGGAAAGAACCTGTGCAGACCGGAAGTTTCATAACTGGGCTGATTCAGTGAAAACGAGTATTATCACATTCAACAAGTGTGCTCAGCTTCAGAATACTCACGTTTGACTTTATAAATGCATTCTATTGTTTGTGTCATGTCTGGAAACACTGCTGGAAATAATTTTCTGAAAGTCCTTTCAACGCTATCATCACATATCTCAGAATATGTTCAAGTGATTCAAAATGATCGCTTTCCAAGAAGCTTTGTAGTTTTAGAAACATAAAGAAGTTACTTGCAGCCAAATCAGATGATAACAGTGGATGTTCCAACAAAGCCTCTCCTCTCCCTTGAGGGTTAAATTACAGTATGTGCTGTCAGTTCCACTATACCGCTTCCTGTGCTGTCTTGCAACTTCTACTACTCCCATCCTATTGTTCTGTAATGACATGTTACTACCATTCCTATCTGTTCATGTTGTTGGTAAGATATACTTGTAAATATTCCCTGCTGAGAAAATGTAAGAATTCCCGTCCACAGTGCTTCCAACTGAGAGAGTATTCAGGGATGAAAATCCTGGGCAAAAATTGCCATTTAAATCCTGTTTTTCTATTTTAGATGTCTGACCACCAGTACTTCTGAAAGAGATGACTTACCCTCTTATAAATACCCATACTGGGATGAACTAAAAAGGGCATATTCTAATCTTTCAGTGGTAACAGTAGACTCTACGCGTGATTTATTCACAAGACGATGTTTGTGGCTCCTATTACAAGGGAAAGAACTTACTGCAAAAAGAGTAGCTACAGTGATAAAGGATTTGTTTAGTGCTAACGATTCGGAACCAATTGTCTTAAAGTGGAGTTACCTGGATGAAATGCAGATTCATTTAGATGATAAGCAGACATCTGGCATTGAGGTTGTTGAAGGGAATGGTTGTGGAAGGAACACCATGGAACAGTTAGTGGGTGATGGGGCCATAGAGTCTAATGTAGCAAATCATGCTACGATTTTACTGATGTCTCAGGAGAATACCTGTCTGAATCAAGTGGGAGTCCATGATAATCCAAGCAGTGATCAGATTGATCACAAAAACCATGAAAATGATTCTCAAATAAATAACTCAATACCTTCGAAGAGAACGCGTCGTCAACCCTCCAAAAAAGTTAGTAAGGATTTTTTAAGGTAACTTCATTACACCAGTCTATTCTACCATCTTGTTGTAACAAAATCTCAAATTATCAGGAACTGGGTATTGTCCACCAAAATTTTCAAAGTTTGAGTAACAAATTATTTGAATTTAGTATTATTGGATTCTTGGTCAAATAAGCCTGCAATTTTATGTTTATCTGAGCATTTTCTCCAATATGAGCAAGTTATGTATTGATCAGTAGGGCCCGGATTTCTATGACATGTCATATTTTTTTCCTAGGGTTTATTCCTATTTTTAAATTTAATTATGCATGTTTCCAGTCATTCTTATTGAAATTATGTCGTTTTTATTGTGCATATAAATGCATATTTTAGAGTTTTATTGGTTTTACAGCATATTTTGGCACAATTTTGAAATAAGATCATATTTTTGTAATTTTAGAAACAATTCTTTGATGTAATGTAAAATTTCGGCTCCATAATGTTTAGTATTACAAAATAAATTTCAGGCTGGACTGTTGCTTCAATGTGGAATAGAGTTCAAGTACATGAAGATCGTATTAAAAACCATATTTTTGACTGGACTGTACTTGCAGTTACAAAGGCGAAAATTTGTGAAATGCAGCATTTATAACCGGGCAAGCCGGCCTTTCCAAGTCGAGGCAGGAGGGAGACAAGTGTAACAGCTATTCTCCTATTGTACTCCGTCTTACTATAAGGTATATACATCCCATTCTTTCTTGGAGGGCTTAGAAGTATTCTATTTATATATGTGGAGGGCGTTATAA